TGCTGCTTGGCCTGCTGTGTTCATCCAGCCCTGCACCTTGTTGTCTCGGATTCTCCAGCAACTGCAGTTCCTACTATCTCTGATTCAAAAAAAATAAGAAGCTGGTTACCAAGCCCCAATCAGCAGGATGCTATCTCCTGCAGACATGTTTGTGATTACCCTTCCAGGGATATCCAAAATGGCTGTGGAAAGTAAACTTCAATCCCTGGCCTGTGTGTTAGTGACATGATTTCCTAGTCTGTGGACTTAGTGTGCTGTGAAGGTCACAGCTTGGGATATATAATGCCCTGCATTGCTGATAAAGTAAGAGAAAAATATTCTTACTCTGAATGCGGCCAACTAGCCACTGTTGAAAGGAATGAGGACAAAAGAATTTCAATGAATCTGCAAAACCATGAGTCTCAAAACCGATTGTTCAATTATCAATGTCAATGCTATTTGTAATAGCCACCTAACAGCTGCAATGTTCAACTGTCTGCGTTTTATGAAAGACTCAGGGGATGACCCTCTTAACATATATTTTTTGGACTCACTTCTAATTTCTAATCTGTGTGCAGGTATATTGCATTACCGTTTCTTCTTGTAATTAGTAACTAATAAATTCAATCTTTTGTTAACTCAAGAAAGTCTGATCAAATTGATTACTTTTAAGATATAGAATCATTTGTTCTGGCAGAAAGGTATCACAGAGGGAGGGATTTTTTTAAAAAGTTAACTTCGTTGTGACCAATCAAAGGGACACCTGAATAAAGAAGCCAATTCACCCTTCCTAATGCAGGAGCTTAACAATTTGGGGTATTCGAACTGGAACCATAATGCTTGGAGAACCTTGCCCAGGGTCTGTTTGTAACAAACTAAATAACAAACTATCCATTATACGGATTCACAACCAGAGAAATTATACTCCTATCTCAACCCTTTAAGTTTTAACTTAACTGACTTCTTAGTTGGAAACGGCATGGTGGCTCAGTGGTTAGCACTGCTGCCTCATAGGGCCAGGGTTTGATTCCATCTTCAGGCAACTTTCTGTGTGGAGTCTGTACATTCTCCCTGCTTCTGCGTGGGTTTCCTCCCACAGTCTAAAGATGTGCAGGTTAGGTGGATTGGCCATGCTAAATTGCCCATAGTGTCCAGGGATGTAACAGTCTAGGTTGGTTAGCCATGGGATATGCAGGGTAACAGGGATAGGGTAGCGTGGTGGATCTGGGTGGGATGCTGTTCAGAGGGTCAGTGTGGACTCAATGTGTTGAATGGCCTGCTTCCACACTGTAGGGTTTCTATGACTTCGCTTCCATTGACTGAGGGGACAAGATTACAATGTGTTTCTGAGCCTGAGGGCGTAAACATTTTTATTTCTAACAAGTTGAAGACCTTTACACATGCTGTTCCAGTTTTGAAACTCCACGCTTTTGCTGACATTACTTTTTACCCTGAACTGAACTAACCTCTGGTTTCTTCTGAACTGAACTCTGCTCTGAAATCAAAAGTAATGGCATTGTTTTATTTACTCTACCTGCAGGGTTTCTCCTTCATGTGATGAGAGTGACATGCTTTTTAGAATGACTTTATGAGTGCATTTTACAACAAAACCTTTGCAGAACTGACCAAAATCCCTCTGCTATTTTAAAATCCAATTTCCAAAGGTGATAATGCTGCATATTATGTAACTTTAGTCAGAAGACATTAAATTAATTTTTCGAGAAGAACAGAGGTGAGAGGTGAGTTCTCAGACGACAGCAACTGTTCACCTGTCTGAGAGCCAAAAACCCAAAAAGGCTGCTAGCCTTGCCTAGGTGCTAACAGCTCAGCTCCGAGTCTGAAGATTGTGGGTTCACAGTCCTATCCGAGAAGCATAAGTACACAACATCTGTCAGCATCGCACACTGAGAGTGTACCGCAATCAAGGAGGTTCTATCTTTTCAATGAGTTATTAAATGGTCAATGCCACTTTCTCAAGGGTAATTAGGGATTGGCAATAATTAGTGGCCTTCACTTGAACAAATATATATAAAAGAAATCAGGCCCATCCCCCTCTCAGATTGATGCAAACCATCCTACCGCACTCTTTGACAAACCAGAGTCTCCCTGGTATTTCAGACAATATTTTTCTGTCAATGTAAATAAAATGGATTATCTGGTCATTACCTCATTCCGGTTGCCATGTTTCCTACAACAGAGATTACACTTCAAAGACTGTAAAAGACTTTGCCATGCCTCACAGCATGAAAGGAACTAAATAAATGCAGGATTTTTCTTTCCCATAGCTGAAGTGACTCTTCACCTAATATTTTTCTAATTGTTGGAATTACATGTTAGCAACATTGATAACAGACAGCAGGGGAACACGGACAGACTGATGAAGTGGGTGGGAACATAGTAACTAAAGTGTGAAGTGACACATTTGCTAGGAAGAATAAAGAGAGGTGACATAAAATAAATTGGACAATTTTAAAGGATTACAGAAACAGAATGAGCTGGCGTGCATGTATCCAAATCTTTCAAAATGGCAGGACAAGTTGAGACAGATGCTAAAAAAGCAAATAAAGCACATGAGACTCTTGGCTTTATTTTCAGAGGCATAAGGTAGAAAAGTGAGGATGTCATGATAAACCTTTATAGAAACAAAAATAAACTGCTGGAAAAGCTCAGCAGGTTTGGCAACATCTGTGGAGAGAAAGCAGAGTTAACATTTTGGATCCAAGTGACCCTTCTTCAGACTGTTTATGTAATGTTATAGAATGTTAAACCTTTGTAGACACTGGATAGGCTTCAGCTGGAGCACTGTGCTTAATTTTGGTTTCACATTTTAGGAAAGGTGTCAAGGTTTTGGACAGGGTGCTGAAGAGTAAATAGAATTTAAAAAATGGAAAACATTTCCAGTGGCAGAGGGGTGAATAACGTGAGGTAAAAGCACTAGAGGCATCATGAGGAAACATTTGTTTTTTTCGCAGCCAGTTATTATGATCTGAAATGCTCTGGGTGGTGGAAGCATTGTAACAGCTAGAAAGAATTGGAATAATGGTTGCAGGAAAACACTTGCAGGTTCATGGGAAAGAGGGGAGTTCATTGGATAACTTTGCCAAGAAGCTGGCAAGGCTGACAATAACCACATGTATTTATACAGTGCATCTATTGTATCGAGAGCTGCCAATATACTTCATATATGTTTTATCAAACAACATTTTGACATCAACCAACATGAGCTATTAGATCAGATAAAGAAGTGGGCTTCTTAAGGAGCCACTTAAAGGAGAAAGAAGGTAGGAGGCAAAGAGATTTTATGTGGGAAATTCTGAAACTTTGAACCTTATCAACTAAAGGAATGGCCAGCAATGGTACACTACACAGAACTGATGATGTACAAGGAAATGAATTAGAAGGGTCTGTGTATCTTGGTTATAAGGTCGGAGCAGATTGCAAAGACAGGGAGGTGTGAGGGATTTGAAAACAAGAATGAGCACTTTAAAATCAAAGTCCTGCTTACATTGGAAAAATGCAGTTCAGGGAGAACATGTGTGGTGGATGTACAAGATTTGGTTAAGTTGTATACAGACATCAATATTTTGGACGACCTCAAGTTTTTGTAAGATAGACTGGTGTCTCATATTCTATAGTGTACAAAAATAATCCAGTCTAATGATAACAAAGGTACAAGAACATAGCATTCTCTCTGCACTCTATCAATCTATCATTCCCTGGTCGATTTGAGGTATAGATATTGTACAGTAACACGAAAGTGTCACCAATTATGTCACTAATTCCATTAGACCATTTAAAGTAAATGTATTAACATAGCATAATGTTTAATGAAAATGTGTGATTCAGTCCCAGGTTTCATCCGCAACATTCACTGCACTTGCACCAAAACTATTTATCAGTAGAGCCAAAGATCCTAAGCTCATCAAATTATCAGGTCCATGATTAAACATTTTGCTCTTAAATATTTTATTTTGTTGTATGCAGGAATGTCGAAAGGCCTGAGCTGTGTCAGGTTACCCTGTACGACTTTCAAAGGTTTCTGCAATATGATCAGAAGGTAAGCAGATTGAATCAATAACCAAAATGAATCATTCCTACATTACAACAGTGACTACACTTCAAAAGTACTTAATTGGCAGCAAAGTGACTTGGGATGTTCTGAAGTTGTGAGAGACACTGTTCATTTGCAATTCTTTCAAATCTTTCTTTTACTGAGGCAACAGTCAGCATTGTTTGTAAATCTTACTTTGCAAACTTTGTATTCTGGCATGATTATGTTTAGAATTCTTCCTACACTTTTCAGCAGTCAATACACAGAGAGGCAGTGGTGCTTTAGAGACAGTTACAGAAGAATGATTAGGATCTTTAGAAACTTGGAGCCTTGTCTACTGAAGAAGGCCCTGTGGAGCTGAGGAATTTGACTGAAGATACTGTTGCACAAAGTGAATTCCCATTGAGATGCTCCTCCTTATCTGCTATAATGTTCATGAAAAATACACAACCACCAGGGGTCAGAGAATCTTTGAGCAGTACATGAGATACAAAGTGTTGTTTATAGAGTTCATTGTGGGAGAAGCAGGACTGATGAACTCTATCCATTGCTTGTTCTTCCCAGGTCATGCTGAGAACCAGGTTAACTTTGCTCTAATCGCAAAAAATCAAGGATCTAAGGATAACTCCTCCTTTGTTTGTTTTCCCTTTATTTTTTCCAATTGCAACTCTTCATTTGGAACTGTGCCTAAGATCAGGATTTAAGTTAAAAACTAGATCCCACAATCAGGAGTAATATAGTGCATGGGTCATACATTAGAATGTCACTTTAATTATTCAGGTCTAGTGTAACATCATAATAGTGAATACCATAGATACAGAAATTCTAGAGATTTTAATTTCAATGAGCATCTTGCACACCTTACCTCAAAACTACTTTCAGTTATGTAATATCTTTACTGCAGTAATGTAGCCATTACATTAATCTTTGATGTAACCAGTCCACAGATATGTAATCACTTCAAAACCTGACTTCTAGCCAAAGATCAGATTAGGCCACATTATGAAAACTTCGGTCAAAAAGTTATGTTTTAAGCAATATCTTCAAAGGGGAGAGGGGTTTAGAGACAAGGAGGAAGGGGAAAGGAAGTCCAGACCTGGGATCATTGAATGCACGAACAAGCATAGTGAATGAAGGAAGTCAGGGCATGCACAAGTGTGCAGAGTTAGAAGAAAGATTAGGCTGGTGGAAATGGCAGTACCGGGGACTGGAGGTAGGATGAGGTGGGGCAGCATGACCATGATCGATTTGAATATGAGTTTGACAAGCTAAGAATTGCCTGACCACAACTATGTTAGCCAGTTTTCTCCTTTACAGATGCTGCCAGACCTGCTGAGCTTTTCCACCAACCTTGTTTTTGTTCCTGATTTACAGCATCCGCAGTTTTTTTGGTTTTTATTGTGTATGTTAGCCAGTGACTTTGTGGAAACAGGAATTAGGAGCTGGAGTAAACTATTCAGTCCTTCAGACCTCCTTTGCCAGTCAATAAAATCTGGCTGTGCTCTTAGTGCCAGTTTCCTTGTGCCTCACAAAACCATTGGCTCCCTTTCCGGCAAAAATCTAACTTAGCCTTGAATAACGTTAAATACCCAGGTTCCACTGATTTATGTGGAAGGGAATTTGAGGGAGAAAAAGAAACTGAGAAAAAAAAGTTCCCATTTCCACCTTACAAGGGAATATTCTTCTTCTTAAATTGTGTCCACTAGTTCTAAAATCCCCAAAAGAGAAAAGGTTCTCCAAGTACATACCCCTATCAAGTCCCCTCATGAACTTGCGCTTTTCAGATTATCACTCAATTTTCCAAACTTCAATGGATAAAAGCCTAGTCTGTTCAACTATTCTTTAGAAAGAAGCCCTTCATCGCAAGGATGAATCTTGAACCTTCTCTAATCTGCTTCAAGTACGATTATAGCCTTTTTGAAATAAGATATCCGAAATTATACACAGTACTCCAGAGGGCTCATCAATGCCCTGTACAGCTGCAGTAAACCTCTCCTGCTTTTATATTCCATTCCCCTTGCAACAAACACTAATATTTATTTTTGCATTGCTAATCACTTACTATACTTGCATGCACTTGCTTTTTGTGATTTGTTTTGTATCAGGACACCCAGATCCCTTGGGACCACTGAGTTTTGTAATATCTCCCCATTTAGACAATATAGCATTTTTCTATTCCTCATTGCAAGTGAACAGTTTTATCTTTTGCCACTTTACCAAATTTTTGCCCACTCACTGGCAACCATCTATATCTCTTTGTAAACTCTTTACCTCCTCTTGACAACTTATTTTTGACCCATTTTGGTGCCATGGAAAGTTTAGCTGCAGTGTGTCCAGCCCCTTCATCCGAGCCATTGATAAATTATAAATAGTTGAGGCTTCAGACTTGATTGTTATGGTACTCCACTAGTTATAGCTTGCCAACCCAAAAGACCCGTTTATTTTTTTTCTGTCTGCTTCCCATTAGCTAACTAATTATGTTAATATTCTACCCCTAATTCTTATCTTGTGCAGTAACCTATAAGGTGGTACCTTATTAATTCTTTTTTAAATCAAGCATACCGCAATTACAGATTCCCTGCCATTCATGTTGCTTGTTATTTCCTCAAAACACTCAAATAACTTTCCCTTTTACAAAGCCTTGTCAACTCTGCCTGAGCACTTTACAATCTTCTAAGTATGCTGTAATAATCTCCTTAGTAACATATTCTACCAAGTTCCCTATCCAAGTCGCACGGTCTGAGCTGTTTACATTTTAATAGTTCTACATAATGGCTATCTATTATTTAACTAGAAAAGGATTTAGTTTACTGAAATTATATTAATTGGGGATGAATGCAAAGGTGGGTGAAACTTTTAGAATTTGAGTTAATGGCAGCAAATGCGGTGAAATTCAACACAATAAAGCAAATTTGATGAAGCATTAGTGCTTTTTTAATGGCAATATCACTGGGCTCGTCATCCAAAGGCCCAGTCTAATGCACTGGGTTCACAAGTTCAAATCCCATAGCAGCTGGTAGAATTTTAATTAAATGAATAAACCTCGATCTGGAAGCTAGTCTCGAGTAATGATGATCAACAGAGCATTGTCGATTGTCTTAAAAACCCACCTGGTTACCTAACACTCTTTAATGAAGTAAACCTGCTATTCTTATCTAGTTTGTCTTAAATGTGACTTCAGCAATATAGATTGACTCTTAACTTCCCTTTGAAATGGCCCAGTGAGCCAACCAGTTCAAGGGCAATTAGTAATTGAGAACCAAATCCATAACCAGTGGCCCCCAAATTGAATGAAAGAATGAAGAGAAAAGGCATTATGGAGGCTGAACATCAATATAACAGACTTAAGTCTGATTTGTTAGAATTAATGCAATGGAAATGAATGGCAAATTCTATGCAAGGCTTAAATTTATTTAATTTCCTGTAGGAAACTGTTGTAATGGTAGCTCTGGACCCAGATTCCCTTAAATGTTGTGATTCTTGCTTCCTTAGGAAAGCTGGGCAAATGACATCAACAAAGTTCGAGAGTGCATCTTTAATTACTTTAAAGACCCATTGAGGGAGATATCAGACCCTGTTTTACAACTGGATGAGGTATATATACCTTTGCCTTACTACTTTTATTCTCAGTAAACTGTAAGTGAAGTGGTCTTAATTTCAACACTTATTCAGCAATTAGAAGCCCAGCTAAATGCAGGGCAAAATATATTATATATGGTGAAGCTCTAGCCCACTCTTACTAATGCATAAACGTGTCAAATAAGTCAACTTCAATAATGGCTTAATTAAAATTTAAAGCTTTGTTTACCTGAGGAAATGAGGTAGACAAGACTCCAGTTTGTTCCACCCTCCAACGGCTAACTCAATTGAAGCCACTAAGGTTTACAAAGAAAAGGCCAAAGAAGAACTTGTATTCTTTATTCTTTAATTCAAGTGTTCAATGCTTTGAAATCATAGCTGAAAGCCCCTGTAGTTTATCAAAGGACTGAAACTTCGTAGAAGGGTCTCAACACTGGGTGTTGGTTTTGAGCTCCAGCTCATAGTCCCACTGGTTAGTAGAATTCTAACCCAATGATTCCTCAAGTAGCATTCTATCATAAAGGATGCTAGAAGGAGGGGAAAATTAGGATTAATTGGCAACTGAAATAGCTCAGGCAACCCATGCTGGATGGCACATCTAGCTGATACATGACAGTGGCTCTCCAATCCCCGTTTTCTGATGTAAGTTCCAATCAGGCTGAAAAAAAGAGGACAAATACACACACCTGTATTCTTTGTCATTTACACCCTCTTTTTATTCTTCCTTTAATTACGTTGTCCTTTATTGTCTTGTTCCTTAATTATTTCTTATCAATTTGTGTCCTGATCTAAATTTTTCTCAAGAACTCACACATTTAAGAGTTCCAAAGTTCCCTAAAACTTCTCTTTCCTGTGGAGTCCACAGGTTTATTAGAGCCATTTCCAATATTACTAACTGTTATTTCCAATTTGTCTTCTTTGAATTGTCTTCAAATATGACAGAATCTTGAATTATAGATCTTGGTTCTTTCTGTTCTCTTCCATAAAATGCAATGTAATTTCAAAATAGAAAATGCAGTAAAATTACTATTTATATTTATAAAGAATGATGACAAGTGAAAATGTATCTATTTTGTTTGTCTTTTAGTTCTTGGCATATCTGTTCTCTAAAGAGAACATGATTCTGGATTCAAGGTTTGAACGTGTGACTTCAGAGGAAATGAACTATCCTCTTTCCTATTATTGGATCTCTTCATCACACAACACGTTAAGTAAAGCTCTGTTCAGTTTTTTGTTTGTTTCGTGCTCACAATCAGTTTTGATGTAATGCTTAATTTTCTGTCCTCCTGTCCTGAAGGCACTAATTCACACTGGGTTATGATGCCAGATGTGACAGCCACGTCCTGATACATTACCCAATAATCATTCCCCATGTATGAACATAGACAATAAGAACTGGCAGGATTTACAATTGCAATCAAGTCTAATGCGAATCTCATGCTCCAGTGGGTAGGAACAAGATTCCTGACTGCATTCTCTGTTCTCTGACATACTCAGACAGTAACCTTGTCAAGTCCACCCCCATCCAATTATGGAGCAGAGGGAACGAGTGGGTGTAGGTAAGGAGTGGTTCTGGAATTTCTGCTGAGGTCGAACTTGAGACAGCTGCTGGAAATTCAATTGTGGGAGTAGATTGGAGCTCCTTCTGATTTGTAGTCTTCTCCAATTGGCTTCAGTGGGTACAGAGTAAAATCTGAGAAGCTACAGGGTGTGGGGTCAAAGACAGGAGACTATTCGCTATGTGAACAACAATTTGAAGCTGTTTAGTGAGATGGATCCATATCAGAGGACTCCGAGGTTAGACGGTAATGTCAGGAATAACTATGAAGACAATCAAAACACAGAACACTAACTACCATGATCTGGTTCAACCCTCAGTATAGTTTCCTATGAATCCTAGCTTCCTCACCATCTTTTATATCTGAAACAGTCTAACAAGGCAGACCTGTGATCTCCCTTGTTAGTCTACTAACAGCTGCCACAACATATGTTAGAGCAATTTGGAGGCGAACTTCACTCCTGCTTTTCCTTTCCAAGCTGTGAGAGAGATTGTACCTCCAGTTGCTGCCTTCCTCTGGTGGGCTAATCCGGATGTGGAACGCTATGAATCAAGGTGGCAATGATTCATGGTATCACACTTTACTCTAATTGTTCCAACTTGTTAAAACAAAAACCACTGGAGGAAATTGTATCCACCCACCAGCTGGAGGAAGAGGTTTTTTGGAGGAAAGGGCGCCCTCTGCTGCCAGTTAGACAGTTGGTTACATGGCATGTTCTTTCTCGGCCCTTGCTCTTCCAGAGGGTCGATGCAGGCCTGATAGGCTGAATGGCCTCTTTCTGCACTGTAGGAATTCTATGATTGTAAGAGACATCTCATTGTAATGTTCAAATCAGTGCAGTTTTAATTGAACACTGGCTGGCTGGATTTTCCAGGAGTCAGAAGCTAGGCAGCGTAGTAAAGATAGGCACGGCTTGATCAAGTGGGTAAGTGCTGTTGTCTGCGAGCCAGGGAGAGCAGGAATATCTCTTGCAATCAACTGCATGTTTCCTTCATTCAGCCTGCTGCCTTTCGTAGTACCTCCCCTATCCTGGTTGCTAGCATGATATCCACCAACTCCCAATCTTTCCTGGTTGTTGGGGACAATACTCAACAGCCCTTGATGACTGTCATCGACCATTGACATTGCCACTCAGCACTGGCCAGCCCACTAACCTGGCTGGATCCCTGGTAGGGTATGGAGTAAAGCAATAACAAAGAGGTCAACTGTTAAATTTGCCTGATACCCATGGTCTTGAGTTTTGTGGGAAATCCCCACTGCTACCCCATTCCTCCCCCCCACCCCTTAGTGTAATTAGGGGTCATTATTTGTACAAAGCATAGTGATCGAAGATCTGAAACGCCCTTCATCTTTTCCAGGTATCTGACTGGTGACCAGTTTTCCAGTGAGTCATCATTGGAGGCCTATGCCCGATGCCTGAGGATGGGATGTCGCTGCATAGAACGTAAGCTTTCTCCTTTTTCCAGTTCTCTCACTTTCTTCTCCCTCCGGCACTGACTTGACTGAGTTACAGTTTCTCCAAAGTGTGGCTCCTTCTCATGAGCAGTTAAGCTTCCAGGGTCAATGTGGCTGATTACAATTCCAGGAGATTCCGATGATGTTAATGATGTGGGTGTGAGATTTGTATTTCTTTGTTCTGTGAAAAGAAAGTGTTTGTTCGTGGCCTTGGGGACAAAACAAGTCTGAGATCAGTGATGTCCAACAAAATTGCAAACAGTCCAGCATTTCCCCCAAACAGGAAGAATGTAGGAGAAAGGGGTAAAATCTTTGCCATGTATATTTTTGTTGCGGTGCTGACTTGTGACGAAAAATTGGTTATGGCATATATTTGATTTGGGGAAAAGATCTGGTCTACAGTTTCTTTTATTTGCTCGTGGGCTGTCGATATCACTGGTAATATCAGTGTTTATTACCTTTCAGAACATGATCCTTCGCAGTCCATGCAGACAGACTGAGTCATTAAGTATAAGGCTATGATAGGCAGATTTTTAGTTAGTGAAGGAATCAAGTGTTATATGAGAAAAGACTGGAAAGTGGAGTTGAGGATTATTAGAGCCACAGTGGTCTTATTGAATGCCAGAATAGACTAGACGGAATGTAAGATTTCCTGCTCTAGAGGTCTACCCATAGTACTGTTAGGAACGGACACCCAGGTTGTGACCCAATGATAATGAAGGAATGATGATATTTTTCAAAGAATAGTGTCTGCCTTGGAGAAGTTGCAGGTGATGGCATTTCCATGCCCCTGGTTCCCTTGTCCTTCTCAGTGATAAAGATTGTGATTTTCAGAGGTTCTGTTAAAGTAGCTTCATGGCAAATGGTGAGAGAACCAATATAAGGAAAAATCCAAATAAATCCATGTTGCAATTGATTCATTTTTATTTTGCAGTGGATTGCTGGGACGGCCCAGATGACCTGCCAATTATTTACCACGGACACACTCTTACCTCCAAAATCAAATTCCTGGATGTGTTGTACACAATAAAGGAACATGCCTTCATCACCTCAGAGTAAGTTGCCCCAATAATGTGGGATGACAATTTATATAAATGTGAAGCTGAATGGTTCATTAATTCCAAAGACCATGTCTTGAGATTTCTCTAATACAAAACATCCTCAATCACTCTGCGCTGTCCACTGTCTTCAGCGTCTTCTGTTCTCTTTTCCCATCATTCATTTTGCAACTATTTCCAAACTCTTCTTGGCCTCCATGACATCTTCACGTGCTCCATTCTCAAATGTATTCTCTGTGTTCATCTTTATGACACTGGCCTGTTTTAGAACATAGAACATAGAACAGTACAGCACAGTACAGGCCCTTCGGCCCATGATATTGTGCCGAGCTTTTACCTGAAACCTAAGGTCTATCTAACCTCCACCGCTACCTTATACTATCATCCATATGCCTATCTAATAGCCGCTTAAACGCCCCTAATGAGGCCGACTCCACTACCCTCTCTGGCAATGCATTCCACGCCCCGACCACTCTCTGAGTAAAGAACCTACCTCTGACGTCTCCCCGATATCTACCTCCTTTCACTTTAAAACTATGTCCCCTCATAAAAGCTACCTCTACCCTAGGAAAAAGTCTCCGGCTGTCTACTCTATCTATACCTCTGATCATTTTGTACACCTCTATCAAGTCACCTCTCATCCTTTGTCGTTCTAAAGAGAAAAGCCCTAGCTCTCTCAACCTTTCCTCTTAAGACCTTCCCTCCATTCCAGGCAACATCCTGGTAAATCTCCTCTGCACCTTTTCTAACATCTTTCCTGTAATGAGGTGACCAGAACTGGACACAATACTCCAGATGTGGCCGAACCAGGCTTTTATATAGCTGGAGCATAACTTCACAGCTCTTGAACTCAATCCCTCCATTAATGAAAGCTAACACACCATACGCCTTCTTAACAATTCTATCTACCTGGGTGGCAGATCTCAGGGAACTGTGAACATGAACCCCAAGATCCCTCTGCTCCTCCACACTGCCAAGAATCTTTCCGTTAACCCTGTATTCTGCTTTCAAGTTTGTCCTTCCACGTGAATCACCTCACACTTTTCAGGGTTAAACTCCAACTGCCACTTCTCAGCCCAGCTCTGCATCCTATCAATGTCCCTTTGAACCTAGAACAGCCCTCTGCACTGTCCACAACGTGATCCACCTTCGTATCGTCCGCAAACTTGCTAATCCACCCTTCCACTCCTTCATCCAAATCATTTACAAAAATCACAAATAGAAGAGGACCCAGAACAGATCCTTGTGGTACACCACTCGTAACTGAGCACCATGTTGAATATTTTCTGTCCACTACCACACTTTGTCTTCTAAGGGTCAGCCAATTCTGAATCCAATCTGCCACATTTCCTCCTATCCCATGACTCCTTACCTTCTGCATGAGCCTACCATGGGGAACCTTATCAAACGCCTTACTTAAATCCATGTATACCACATCAACTGCTCCACCTTCATCCATGTGTTTGGTCACCTCTTCAAAGAATTCAATAAGGTTTGTGAGGCATGATCTACCCCTCACAATTGCATGCTAACTATCACGAATCAAACTGTGCCTTTCCAAGTGGTCATAAATCCTGTCTCTCAGAGCCCTTTCTAATAATTTGCCCAGCACTGACATAAGACTAACTGGCCTGTAATTTCCGGGGTTATCCCTGTTTCCTTTTTTGAACAAGGGAATGACATTTGCCTCTTTCCAATCTTCCGGCACTATACCCGTGGACAGTGAGGACGAAAAGATCATCGCCAAAGGCCCTGTGATCTTGTTCCTCGCTTCCCATAGAATCCTTGGATAAATCCCATCAGGCCCAGGGGACTTATCTAGCTTCATCTTCCTCAGAATTCCTAGCACATCTTCTTTACTAACATCAACCTCCTCTAGCCTACCTGCCTGTATCACAACGTCCTTCTCTACAACTAGGTCCCTCTCAGTTGTCAATACTGAAGAAAAGTATTCATTAAGGACCTCTCCGACCTCTTTAGGCTCTGTGCACAAATTCCCTTTACAATCCTTGATCGGCCCTACCCTTTCTCTGGTCATTCTCTTGTTCTGCACATACGTGTAAAAAGCCTTGGAGTTTTCCTTGATCCTATCCGCCAAGATTTTCTCATGCCCCCTTATAGCTCTCCAAAGCCCTTTCTTCAGCTCCTTCCTGGCTAACTTGTATCCCTCTAGAGCCTTTTCCATTCCTCTTTTCCTAAACCTTACATAAGCCTCCTTCTTCCTCTTAACCAGTCGTTCGACCTCTCTCGAGAACCATGGCTCCCTCACTCGACCGCATCTTCTCTGCCTGCTAGGGACAAACATATCGAGCACACGCAGTATGCATTCCTTAAACAGTCTCCACATTTCTGTGGTGCTCTTCCCTGACAGCATCAGTTCCCAGTTTATGTTACCCAGTTCTTGCCTAACTGAATTGTAATTACCCTTCACCCAATTATAAACTTTACCCTGCCGTATGTACCTATCCTTATCCATGACTATCGTGAAAGAGACAGAGTTATGATCGCTACCGCCAAAATGCTCTCCTACCAATAGGTCTAACACTTGGGCCGGTTCATTGCCAAGCACCAAATCCAAAGTGGCCTCTCCTCGTGTTTGTCTATCTACATACTGTGTCAGGAATCCTTCCTGAATGCACTGGACAAAATCCGCTCCATCTAAACTATTACAACGAAAATGTTTCCAATCAATATTTGGAAAGTTGAAGTCACCCATGACTACAACCCTGTGACTTCTGCACCTTTCCAGTATCTGCCTCCGAATCCACTCCTCTACTTCTCTGCAACTATTAGGGGGTCTGTAAAAAACTCCCAATAAAGTGACTGCTCCTTTCTTGTTCCTGACCTCAACCCAAACTGACTCTGTAGACATATCATTCTCGAACTGCCTTTCAGTAGCTTCTATACTGGCCTTGACTAGCAATGCCACTCCCCCACCTCTTTGTCCACCCTCCCTATTTCTTTTAAAGCATATAAATCCCGGAACTTCCAACAACCATGCCTGTCCCTGAGTTACCCAAGTTTCTGTAATGGCCACAACATTGTAGTTCCAAGTGCCGACCCATGCTCTAAGTTCATCCGCTTTATTTCTGATACTTCTAGCATTGAAGTATACACACCTCAAACCATCTCGGTGTCCGCAATTACGCTCCATCGACCGCATTTCTTTATAAACCACCTCACTCCCTGTTGTGTCTGTTGGAAGGCCGAATACCTCATCCTCTGAATTATAAATCCAGTTCCCCACCCCCTGCCAAACTAGTTTAAACCATCCCGTACAGCTCTAGAAAACCTCCCTCCCAGGATATTTGTGCCCTTCCGGTTCAGGTGCAACCCGTCCTTGCTGTACAGGTCCCACCTTCCCCAGAATGTGCTCCAATTATCCACATAATGGAAACCCTCCCTCCTACACCAGCCCTGTAGCCATGTGTTTAGCTGCACTCTCTCCCTATTTCTTACCTCGTTATCGCGTGGCACTGGTAGTAATCCAGAGATAACTACCCTGTTTGTCCTGGACTTCAGCTTCCAACCTAACTCCCTGTACTCGTTTTTCACATTCTCAGTCCTTTTTCTCCCTATGTCATTGGTACCGATGTGTACCATGACTGCTGGTTGCTCACCCTCCCCCTTAAGGATCTTGAAGATACGATCCGAGACATCACGGACCCTGGCACCCGGGAGGCAACATACCATCCATTCATCTCGTTCGTGTCCACACAACCGCCTGTCTGTGCCTCTTACTATCGAGTCCCCCACTACAATTGTTCTCCTATTCTCCCCCCTTCCCTTCTCTGCCACAGGTTCAGGCTCAGTGCCAGAGACCTGTCCGCTATGGCCTTCCCCTGGTACGTCCCCCCCCCCACAACAGTATCCAAAACGGTGTACTTATTATTGAGGGGAACGGCCACAGGGGATCCCTGCACTGTCTGCCTATTCCCTTTCCCCTTCCTGACAGTCACCCAGCTACCTTTTTCCTGTACCTTGGGTGTGACTACCTCCCTGTAACTCCTCTCTATCACCCCCTCAGCCTCCCAAATGATCCGGAATTCATCCAGCTCCAGCTCCAGCTCCAGTTCCCTAACACGGTTTTTGAGGAGCTGGAGTTGGGTGCACTTCTCGCAGGTGAAGTCAGAGGGGACACCAGCAGTGACTCTTACCTCCCACGTCCTGCAAGAGGAGCATGCACCTGCCCTAGCTTCCATTCCCTCTACTCTAGATTTCCAGAAGAATTAAAGAAAAGCCTTACCTTACCGAATTTTAATTCCATTCTTATAAGCCCATCAAGTCTTTTGTAATGATTTCTTTTCCTGCCTCCACATAGTTGCCCAGGTGATCAAAACTGGGAACTGAATCTCAAGGCTACTCAATGAGTAGCTGTTAAAGTGATGGGGAGTATGAGAGGGCAGGCAGATGGGATGGGGATAAGAGAGGGCAGGGAGATGGGGTGGGGATAAGAGAGGGCAGGCAGGTGGGGTGGGGATAAGAGAGGGCAGGCGGATGGGGTGGGGATAAGAGAGGGCAGGGAGATGGGGTGGGGATAAGAGAGGACAGGGAGATGTCCTGGCCATAGGAGAGGGCAGGGACTTGGCTTGACAATATGGAAAGCATAGGGGTGAAATGGGGCTATGTGTGAGGAATTGAAGATGGCACATGGGAGGCATGACGGTGCCATGGGGGTTTTGTTGGGCGTTGAGAACTAGAGTGCCCGGCAGCCTTTTATAAAAGCGATTCAAATCTCTGAGAACCAAGGCAGCCTGTAACAAGCTGGCCTTGAGACTTTCTGATTCTGTGGCCACATCTGAACTGTAGCCGGAGGTAGTAGGCTGGATGTGGTCACATGCCCAACCCTTCCAAAGCAACAAAAAAGCATGCAGGTGTTGTTTCCACTGGAGACAGGCCGGCCAGGTTAGGGGACTTCCTGGATTGAGTTTCCCTCCTCCATGGCGAAAATCGAGCTCTAAATCTTGCTCCCCTCCATAAAGTATTCACTAACCTACACTAATCCTTGCCTTTATCTACAAATTGCTTCATGTCCTTGTGTTCCTGCAACTTCACAACTCAATTCCTCCTGATTGCGAGTGTACTCCATGAACTGGAATACAGTTTCCATATTTCTGCATCAACTTGCCTCCATTGTCTGTTTTAAAATCAACCTCTTTGCCTCGCTCTTGATCACCCATCCATCTTCCTTTTCCTATCATCATTTGATGTCTCAGAGACATTTTAGAATGTTTTATCTCAAAAGTTTTGAAATCCATTCTTTGTTCACCATTCTATTTTGAAATAGAATTAGAAATAAAATTAGCTTTATTGTCTCACATGCAAATGAGGATGGTGAAAAGTGTATAAGTTGCTGCATGCAGTGCCATCTTAGTTACAAGGTCCCTAGGTACAGCTTCTTCAGTTACAGTTCTTAGAAAAATAGAGAAGTAAAAAGTCCAGCGTTGCAGATTCAAGGAATAAATTATAACATGGGGAAAAAAGTGACCAGTACGATGGTCTTCCAACCCAGTCCATGCTGGCCCTAGTCTCCTGTCCTTGACTCTAGATCATACCAAGCTTCACCTCAGGTTTCAAGAGGTCTGGGATCACCTCAAGACCAGAGGTCCATGCTGAGGCCACACCGGGCTGAGAGACCGCCACAATGGGCTGCTGGGATATCGCCGTGCTGGGCCAACAGGCCTCCATACCAGGCCACTGTGCCAGGCCAAGAGGGCACCTTGTCGGATCTGAGCGGAGGCTGGGAGTATTAGTAATTGCTGTCAGTAATTATACTAATATGTCTTTTAAATGATTACATCTAGCCGTGTTTTTCTCATCTCTTGAAAAGATTGTCTGTCTCAGAACAGTCATTTCTAGGGTTCAAAGGATTTTTAAGTTTTTAAAGATAATCTTTGGTGCGCACAACTGGATGATTGCAGAAACACCTGGGTTAGTGTATCGAGAAAGGTGTGATAGATTGGGTGTCACTTTTCTCTTGATGAGAGAAGGTTGAGGCATGACCTTTTAAATTATGAAAAGTTTTGTTGGAGTCGATACAGTGAGAATGCTTTCCCTTGTGGACGACAGCATAAGCAGAGGACAAAAATATAAAATAGTCTTGAAGAAAATAGGAAATTTAGAAGAAACAGGTTTTATCAAGGATACTCACTACCACAGTCAATGATTGAAGTTTGAGGGGAAACTAGACAGGCTCGAGGGAGAGGGTACATACGATGATAGATGTAGATTAGCAAATATGGGAGGAGGCTTGAATGGACTGGTGTGCACAAATTGGGCTGAATGGTCTGTTCCTGTGCCATTTTTTTCTATGTAGTTGGCCAGACTGTTCATTGTTCTCATCTGAACCGAAGTGGGTATCTCAGCTGTGTATTAACTGCCCTCAGACACAATCTAAAATACTTAAATGAGCCGGGGTCAAGGGTACAAAGAACAGAGGCTTCATTTCCCCTTTTCTCTACCGCTACCAATTCCCCACAGAATCTTCAGTTCTGTCAGTGAAATAGGACCCGATAAAACTTCAGGCAGTGCAGTTACCATCAACATGATTTTATTACATCACTGCACAAGCAAAGGATAAACTAAATAGAAGAAAAATATTTATATAATCAATCGCTTATCCTCAGGCGAGTACTTAAATAAAAAATCCATCTTAAAGTTGTAATGCAAACAAATGTGACAACCAACTGGAGTTCAGTAAGCCCTTATAAATAGCAAATGAGATCAATGACTAGATCATCTTTATTTGGTGAGGGTTGAATTACCAGGGCAGCAGCAGAACACTTTGTTTCTTTGGAAATATGACAAGTAAGCATTTACTCATTGCAAATATTTTGTTGATCCAGTTCATATTAAAATGATTCTTTAAAATGCAATCTTTCACATATGGGCATCAGTGGCAAGGCCAACGTTTGTTGCCCATCCCTAAATGCCTTTGAATTTAGTGGCTAGATCAGCCATTTAAAAGGGTTGCTCAGAGTTGACAGTATTGCTGTGTGAATAAAGTCAATAGTAGGCCAGAGTGAGTAAGGATAACAGATTTCCATCCCTGAAAGACATCAATCAATGAGATAGAACATAGAACAGTACAGCACAGTACAGGCCCTTCGGCCCACGATGTTGTGCCAACCTACTATCCTACTAAAATCAATCTACCCTGCATACCCTACATTTTACTATCCTCCATGTGCCTATCCAAGAGTCACTTAAAAGTCTCTAAAGTATCTGACTCCACTACCACTGCCGGCAGCGCATTCCACACACCCACCACTCTCTGTGTAAAGAACCTACCTCTGACATCTCCCCTATACCTTCCTCCAATCACCTTAAAATTATGCCCCCTCGTAATAGTCATTTCCGCCCTGGAAAAAAGTCTCTTGACTATCCATTCTATCTATGCCTGTCATCATCTTGTACAATCATCTTGAGATGGTTTTTATGACAATTATTTTCACATTTAGCAGCACTGAGGCTGCATTTCAATTCCAGATTTATGAATCAAACTTAAATTCTGTCAAATCTCATGGTGGGATTTGAAACTGTGTCCCCAGGGCATTCACTTGGGACTCTCGATTGCTTCAACAATGCTGTTACCACAATTCCATTATTTCCTTATATGGGAACAGCAACAACATCCAATATTACACAGAGCGTTACTAATTTCAAGTGTACCTTGCAGGTTTCCAATTATTCTGTCCATTGAAGACCATTGCAGTGTTGTCCAGCAACGAAACATGGCATCTCATTTCAAGAAGGTCTTTGGGGACATGTTGTTGACCAAACCTGTAGACATCAATGCAGATGAACTCCCATCACCAAATCAACTGAAGAAAAAAATCCTGATAAAGGTGGGTGAGGTGCTAACTTACTGTGGTAGGAACATCGCCTATCAATTGAAGCTGCCTGCTATGTTCAGTTCGAGATCCACTAGATTGTTCAACAGACCTCTGCTTATGCTGAAGCATTGTATGCAAACTGTAAATGACTTTGTGAAACTCTTCATATGATTTTGTCCTGCCTATTCTTAGATTAAAATTTGTAAGCCTGCAGAACAGAACATCCCAATTCTTGAAGAGAGAAGAGAAAATCAATCACGCTTAGATGGAGAGATAGTAGGAACTGCTTAGATGGAAATGTCTCAACAGTTGGCCACTAACGACATGTTGAGCATGTTGGGCCTATATCTACTGGAGTTTCAATGAAAGTTTTGTTTTTCACTGTTTTCTTGTTGTGTCTTTTTGATGCTGGCTGTCTAACAGCTCCACACATATTCAGCTACTCCATTTCTGACAACTTACCTGAAGTGATGTGTGTTTAATGCCCCCACAGACTGTGCACAAAGGCAATTAAAGCAGAGGTAGCAGACACATGACTATCACAAGCCAGCCAGTACACTTTTATAATTTTACACAGTCCAATTACATTTCTTCAACAGGCCTGTATACCACCTTGTATCAATGTGTCCCAATAAAGTTTATTTTGTGTACCTCTGCAGACTGAGTAGGAGTTCTGTGTTAGTAGAATATTGTATTCAGAAGGAACCCTATCTATTTTCTGACCTCTAGCCCAGGGAAAACTGAGGCTACCTTAGCATTTTAGTGCTACTGCCCAGAAATCTGGGGTCTTCTAGTCCTAGTAACTCAGATACATGTTAGTCATTCAGGGAGGCACCTTCCCGGATTTCTTAAGTTTAATTAGGACTTTTTCTAAAGTAAAATTATGGTTCAAAGAGGTCACTGAGGCACCGTGCTGTCTTCAGCTTGCCAATTTGCAATGCTATCTCACAAAACTAATTCATGTTAGTGCAATACTTGTTCTGTTGTTCGTTTAAAGCACAAGAAGTTGGTGGAAGGCAACCTGTACGAAGAGGTTTCATCAGCAAGTTATTCAGAAAATGACATAAGCAACTCTATTAAAAATGGCATCCTATACCTAGAGGATCCCATTGACCATGTAAGTACTTCCTTCCTCACCACCTTCATCAATACCACTGCGAGTGTTGCTCAACCGTTCTTCTTTCCATTATACTGACAGTTTTCAATTGAGAAAATTGGGTATAAACAGCCAAAGCTACTGTACAGTAATTGTCAATCAAGAAGTAGTGATTTGAAAAGCCCAAGCTTGGATTTTACAAGTTTAAAGATTGCAGAAAGTAGGAAAGGTTTAGGAAGATGAGAGGTTGAACAATTTTCAAATCATTGTTAAGTTATAAAGTGCAGTAGGGTGAGGAGTTCTTTTGTATTATATACAAAATGATTTGGGTCTTGGAATAGAGTAAAACATCAAAATTTGCTGATGATATAAACTTGGATAGTGCCAAACAATGATGGCGGTGTGAACTGCCTGAAGCAGGACATAGAGAGGTTGACAGAATGGACAGACAAGTAGCAGGTGGAATTTAATACCAAGAAATGTGAGATTATGCATTTCAACACAAAGATTAAGGAGAGGCCATTTAGTTTGAATGGCATAATTCTACTGCATGTGTAGGTACAGAGGAAACTGGAGTGCATGTGCATCAGCCTTTGAACATTGCAGGACCTTGAGGATATTAGAGACTGATGAGCTAAACATACGGGATCTTAGGTAGAGGCATTGAGTAAAAAATGTGCCGAAGTTATAGTGACTCCTATAAAGCTCTGATGTCACAAGTAGAAGATGGCATCTAGTTCTAATCACAGCATTTTAGGAAAGAAATGAAGGGCTCAAGAGAGTGCAATTGAGATTCACCAAAATGATGATGGTTTTGGCTAAATTGGTAAGTCTGAGATTGTTCTTGCAGCAAAAGAGATTGAGGAAGATTTAAGAGAAGTATACAAAATTATGACACACTATATAAGGTAGACAAGGAAATACTCTTTCTGTTAATTGAGCGTGCAAGGATTATGGGACACTGACTCATTTGGAGCTGAGGAAGAAAAAGAATAACATTGATCAAACAGATGAAACAAGCTAATGTCAAAAAATGAGGTGTTGTAGGTGAAAGACGCACAACTTTTCATCTCAATCTGTCCCAATTCCCAAACAAGATCCCATGAATGCACCAAGGTGCAGAGCTGGATGAACACAGCAGACCAAGCAGGATCATAGGAGCAGAAAGGCTGACATTTCGGGCCTAGACCCTTCATCAGAAACTGATGAAGGGTCTAGGCCCGAAATGTCAGCCTTTCTGCTCCTATGATCCTGCTTGGTCTGCTGTGTTCATCCAGCTCTGCACTTTGTTGTCTCGGATTCTCCAACATCTGCAGTTCCTACTACCCATGAATGCATCCCTTTCTTGAGTTTCTGCTAATTTCATTTCATAGGTAATATGAGTGGCGGTGAGTTTATCTTTGCAATTATTGGAGGAAAACCATGAATTTTTGTGTGTGACCCACTATGGAGGATAGAGCTTATATATACGATGTGGAAGAACAGGTCAAGTGGCCTTTTTTTCAGTTTCATTGTTTCAAAATTTTACTTGGGTACAAACATCCCATGAGCTTCTACACGTTATTGTTTGAGGAGATTTTACAGAAAAGTCATACACTTAACATGGAAAAGTGATGAGAAATGAGGAAAGGTTAAAAGAAGAAATTGCGCAGAAGTAGAAGTTAATCAGTATAGGGAGATAGGATGAATCTACAACATCGGAGTAAATCAGGGTAGGATGACAATGCAAAAACTACATTAATGAAAAGTATAGTTTGAACAAATACTAAGCACCACCACTAGCATTTGGATGTATGAGCTTATCAATTAGACAGCTTAGAGAATGCATGGGAAATCTTGAGAAACTTATATGTTAAATTCTGGTGGACACTTACCCTTCACCAGGTTCCTACAATAACGCACTGAAAAGGAAAACTAGCCTCTCGCACGGTTGGAATTCAATAAGCTTTAAGGCCTGTGACACTTTATTTGAGAGTTTTCATGTAAATAATGGAAATACTCTAGTGGTTCACCATTGTGAAATGTGGATTGAGGCAATGGAAGCCAGTATAGATCCAAGATATAATAGTTGGGGAAAATGAGAACAAAAGTAATTTTTTTTTTTGACAATGGCTTACATTCAAACTTTGCAGAACTGGAGTCCACATTATTTTGTCCTCACAAGTAATAAGATCTATTATTCTGAAGAAACATCGAGATACCAGAACAATGAGGATGAAGAGGAAGAAGAACAAAAAGAGGTACACTGGCATTATTTTTATCCTCTTTCTTGTAGATGTTAACGCATTGTTGGGTATAGCTATATTCCACATAAGTAATAACTTTAAAGTTGGTATTTGACATTAGGCAGCGTTATAATATGATGGTTCTGGTATTGGGTGGTGGCTTATGCAACAGTTTTATAGTGTGTATAGTCAGCTACTTTCCAAAGTTAAAATAGCATGAGATATAAGCCGAGGACCATTTACAGTGACTAAGATTGTTTTATTTCACATTGGGCTTACTTACTAATACAACTGTTTGTACTTCTTGGCAGTGAATATGGGAAAAAAATATTTTGGGTGACATTCCAGAAATGTTAGAATCATTGCAGCTTCTTTATTTTGTGAAGGGGCGCTAATAAATGTTAAGCAGTTATTAACATTATTGGTCCTAGTTTTTGTTTTCCTTGCTGTGGGGAAGATTGTATTTGAGATCAGTAACACTATCTGCCTACAATCACTATGGTGCAGTGTTCCACGGACTACACTCAAAGCAAATATGAATGGGATTTTGTGGCCCTCTATCATTAGTTAGTGAGTGCCACTGCTCTGGGTCATGCATCGAGTATCTTGTTATCATGCCTGATGTTAGATGGTTACACTTTGCTCCAATTTGCGGTTATCAGCAGGAGTTCAACAACAACGATCTGCACTTCAGCGAGAAGTGGTTCCATGGGAAGCTCGGTGGCGGGAGAGATGGTCGTCAGATAGCCGAGAAGCTTCTCCATGAGTACTGCACGGAGACCGGTGGAAAGGATGGCACCTTCCTCGTGAGGGAGAGTGAGACATTTGTGGGTGATTACACTCTGTCTTTCTGGTAGGTAACACCTAGATTTAGAGATGGTACAGCGTAATGATGATGATATGGGACGAGTAATCCAGAAGGTCAGACTGATACCCTGAGCTCATGGGCTCAAAGCCCACAACAGCAACGGATGCAATTTCAATAATTATGCCATGAGACTATCATCGATTACCATAAAAATCTAATTAGTTGACTGATGTCCTTCCAAAGAAAGGAAATACAGCATCTGATATATAACACCAGACTCATAGCAATGTGGTTGACTTTCAACTACCCTCCAAAATGGCCTAGCAAGCCACTCAGTACAAGGGCAATTACATATGAGCAACAAATGCTGGTCTTGCCAGCCATGGCCACATCCCATAACTGATAAAAGGAAAAAGCCAGAGAGGAAAACATGTGTTAATATGTGACCTGTGCTCTCCATATATTCTGGAAATGTAGAAGGAGTGATGTGATCATATTTAGTGCACTGAATATTCCTTAAGTGTTCTTTGGCTCCAGCTCCAATGATAATACACAGGAAGATATGCTCATAGGCAAGTGACGAACGGAAGCTCATGTAACTCTCACTGTGCATGAGGAATGTGGGAGATGATTGTGGCATAACCTTGTGAGAAGCGATAACAATTAAGTTCAGATCTGCAAAGCAACAGTGGCACGAAGAAATGGAGGGTTTCTTCCCCAAATTGTGTCATTACCTGTGCACTATGTCCCTTGCTCATTGTATTCTACTTCCCAGGTGGACAAGCTGGCCACTTCAAGGTGCCATCTTTAAAGCCCAGCCAAGTGCTGTCTGCCCACACATGCCCTGCATGGTTTGTTTAATTTGCCCTGGATATGTCAGTCAGAAGGTAATTGGGACCCTACTTTGCTGACGGGAACTGACGCCCTGCTGGAAGCGTGGGTCACTGCCCTTGGAATATATCCAGAGATTTTGGGGACTGATGGTGGTCTGGAGGAGCACACAGCATGATAGAGTTGCAAGTTACTGCTCTGCCTTCCATGTTAGGAATTGTCACTGTCTAGTTTCTATACGGCCATAGAAGAATGGGAAACCGCATATCAGTGAGGTGGAATGATGTAATAACAAGAAAGTTGATGCATGTAAATAGTCCTCTCAGTGCCCACTCACAGGAATATCACCTCGCCACAGTTGGAAAATTGGACTTTGTGTTCCCAATGTCATGAAAGTCCTCATTGTCCCTCTCACACTATCCTCTGAACTATCTCACCAGTGCCCATTCCAGGATGGCGGATGGTGACTATTGGAGTTCCATAGGGGTCCATGTTGAGACCACAACTATTCACATTATACATTAGCGATCTTGACAAAGGAACTGAGGACATTGTTGCTAAGTTTGCAAATAACACAGAAATAGGTGGAGGGACAGGTCGTGTTGAGCAAGTGTGGAGGCTGCAGGAGGACTTGAACAGGCAAGGACAGTGGGCAAAGAAGTGGCAGTTGAAATACAATTTGCAAGGTTCCACACATTGGTAGGAAGATTAGAGGTGTAGATTATTGCAGACTTCGGAAATCGGAAGCACAAACGGACTTGGAAGTTCGAGTTCAGGATTCTCTTAAGGTTAACATGAGCCATGATCCTGTTGAATGGCAGAACAGGCTCAAGGGGCTGAATTGCCTCCTCCTGCTCCTAACTCACATATGTTCATGAGGTGGAAGGATATTATTTTTAATCAAAGATGGCATTTGTCCAGTAGTTAGAGATGAACTTGGTTCATGAGATCAGGATGTAGGGTCAGTTTGGGTGAAGATGAGGATTAGTGAGCAAAGAATCTGGTTAGGGGCTTGTCTATGGGCCCCATAACAATAACCACAAGACAGGACAAAGTATACAAGAGGAAAAAGCAGGAACTTGTGATAAAGGGATAGCAACAGCCATACGTGACTTCAGTCTATGTATGAACTCGTAAATCAAACTGGATGAATTAGTCTGGATGGAGAGTTCCTGGAATGTTTTCAAATTAGTTTCTTAGTGAAGCAAGTTTTGGAACCCACCAGAAAGCCAGCTATAATTGTGTTGATGACCTAGTGGTATTATCTCTAGACTATTAATCCAGAGACACATGTAACATTCCGGAAACAAAAACAGAAGTTGCTGGAAAAGCTCAGTGGTCTGGCAGCATCTGTGAAGAGAAGTCAGAGTTCTGAAGAAGGGTCACTGGACCCAAAACACTAACCCTGAGCTCTCTTCACAGATATGGCCAGACCTGCTAAGCTTTTCCAGCAACTTCTGTTTTTGTTTCTGTGTTACAGCATCTGCAGTTCTTTCAGATTTTATTTAATGTTCTGGAGACTCAGGTTCAAATCCTGCCATGGCAGGTGGTGGGACTTTGATATTAAAAATAATCTGGAATTAAGAGACTAATGATGACCATGAAACTGTTGTTCTTTGTCAGGGAAGGAAACTGTAGGTCTGGTCGACATGTGACTCCAGACCCACAGCAATGTGGTTGATTGTTAACTACCCTCTGGGCAATTAGGTAATAAATGCTGGCCTTGCCAGTGATGGCCACATCCTGCGAAGAAAATTAGACTTGGTATTCTGTAATGTGACAGGATGAATTAGTGGCCTCAGAGCGTAGGCACCCTTAGGTAGCAGCACCAAACTTTGAATTTTGCATGTCCAGAAGCAGCAAGAGCTAAAAAGAATTCAGGCTTGAGCTGTTTAGCAGCAAGCAAAATTTGCACCATACAAGCTACAGGCAGTGACCATCACCAATAAGAGAGAAGTGAACCATCCTCTTTTACCACTGTGATTTGTGGGGTTACCATTGACCATAACCTGAACTGGGCAAATCATAGATATTACATATGAACAAAACAGAGACTAGGAATTCTACAACAAATAACTCACCTCCTGACTCCCGAGAATCTATCCAGCATCTATAAGGGACAATTCTTATCTGATAGAATATACTCCACCTGCCTGGATGGCTACAGGCTCTAAAATACTCAAATAGCTTGGCATCATCCAGGATAAAGCAGCCTACTTGATTGGTGTCTAACAAAACACCTTTAATATTGCTTTTTCCTTCACTGATGCTGCCAGACCTGCTGAGCTTTTCCAGCAACTTTGTTTTTGTTACCTTTTAATGTTCATATCTTCCACCAGAGTGGTAGCAATATACAAGATGCAGTACCTCATTATGTCTCCTTCCTTCCAAACCCTTGACCACTACACCTGGAAGGACAAACGCAGTAACGCCCAGGAACACTACGACTTCTAAGTTCCACTCCAAACCGTACAGCTTTCTGATTTAAAACTAAATCACCTGTCACCGTGCTGGGTCAAAATCATCCTAACGCCATTGTGGATGTACCTACACCACCTGGGCAGCAGCACCTCCAGAAGGTAGCTCACTGCCACCTTCTTAAGGGTAATTAAGGGTAGGCAATCAATGCTGGCTTGGCACTGCCACCCACATCGCATGAAAGAATGAAAAACAATATAAATGAGGAGACTTGTGATTCAGTAGATGGATCCCAGGATTGATCAAACAATGGCAAGGCGTGAAGAGAATGATTCTGAAGTGTATAAATTATGGCTTTGACCAATTTTCCCATTGCAAAATTTAACTGTGCAACTGCAAATATGCTGAAAAGTGTGAGAAATTCTCGGCATCGTATCTGTAACTTTCCTTAGTTAGCAATGTTTAGAAACCATGTTCAGTTGCATAATAATAGAAACAATACAGTTATTTCCTTTTTTGTAATCTTGCAAAATTTGTGTTGTTGTGGAATGAAATCCCCACAGTTTGATGCTAATCTGACAACTGGCAAGTGCAAATCTGTCAGCTCTATTCAATCAGCAGGGATCAGCTACTTTGGAAACCAGATTATGATTGAACATTTCATTTTTTTTACCTACTCAGTACTGGTTAGGCCGAGGAAGAGTGGGAGTCTCAAGTAAAGTGAGGTGTTATGCTGAACAGGAGCATATAATGAGCACAAACTGTATTCCGCTCTATTACCAGGATCTGATTTTAGTCTGAGCCCATGAGAGTGATGAAAGGAAATTGTCTCTCTCTCTGTCTGCCTTTGTGTTAGATATTGGCTTGCAAAGTGAAATTAATTTGAGTTACTTTCAACTTAATTCAAATTGGTTAAAACCACCAACTCTTAATTGGAACACTCAGAGAATCTATGAACGAATTTACGTCTAGAAATAGAAATGTCGACATTGGAAAGATTTCTGAGATTTACTCTGAGTCTATGAAATTTTAGATGATCTCAGAGTAATTGATGCTGACAATGCGAAGAAGTATCATTCACAGCACATTTTTTTTCAGGCAGTAATATTATGAATAAAATCCTAACCAAAGAAGTGTGAGGTAATGTATTTGGAAGGGCCCACAAGGCAAAGGAATGCACAGAATCATCGGATATTGAGAAGTGTTATGGTATGTTAGGAACTTAGAGTGTTTGCACAGAGATCCTTGATAGCAAACAGATAAGATGAATCTGGTATAACAAGGTGTAGAGCTGGATGAACACAGCAGGCCAAGCAGCATCAGAGGAGCGGGAAAGCTGATGTTTCGGGTCAAGACCCTTCTTCAGAAACCTTTCTGAAGATGGGTCTCGACCCGAAACGTCAGCTTTCCCGCTCCTCTGATGCTGCTTGGCCTGCTGTGTTATTCCAGCTCTACACCTTGTTATCTCAGATTCTCCAGCATCGGCAGTTCCTACTATCTCTGTAACAGGTGAATCTGGTTATTTGTTTTATCAGCCAAGACACGCGGATAAGAGAGGGAGGATTATGTCACAAATGTATAAACACAAGTAAGAGCACAGCTAGAGTATTGTATTACATAACTGCATTACAGAAATACAGAATGTTTCCAGTCGAAAAGATACAAAGAAGTTTTAGGGAAATATGGGCGGCATGGTGGCTCAGTGGTTAGCACTGCTGCCTCACAGTGCCAGGGACATGGGTTCAATTCCACCCTTGGACAACTGTCTGTGAGGAATTTGTACATTTTCCCCGTGT